AGAACCAAGATGCATTATGTAAAGGTACAATTCCCAATGAGAAATGTAATTGTGTTGTATACCTACAATGTACCAATAAAAGAATTTAATAAAAAAAGTATAGATTGCTGCTACAAGGTGAACAATTTTATATCCTCCTCCTCCTCCTCATCAAATAGTCTAGTGAATATTTATATACATAGAGTACTAAATTTGTTAACAAACAGCATATACCTTTTTTAATGTTGCCATTTTCATACTCAACTGTATATGAGCAATGAATCATTTATTGAAGTAATAATTATTTTAACCATTTTGATAATACGACAGCCTGGGAATGTCATAAGATTGGTGTGATAATGTTCTAAATGTATCAATAAAATTAATTGAAAAATTAAAAGTGACCCAGGTACAATATGAGACTGCAAAGACAACTGTGTGTATTCAAGGAACCTTGGGGGATAAGTGAAGAAGGGATCTCTGTCACTTCACTCCTGTTAAAATTAATGTAAATATGGAAGAGAAATAATCATAGTTAGGTTTAAAAAGAAAAGAAAAAGAATATGCTGACCAAAATGTAGACTGTGGATTGGAGGGTATACTGGCTAAATATAGACCAGTTTCAGAAGTCACTGTAAGTTCATGTAAGATATGCTAGCTTGATCAGATTTCTGGTGGGATAGTAAAGTAACCAGATTAAAAGAATGTTTAGTACATAGAGCAATCTTTGTTGACATGTTGAATATGAGTTTTGAAATACAAAGAAAAGTCAAGAAAACTAAAGTTTGAGTCATGAAAACTAGTTAAATAGTTTGGTGGATAATTAAGGGTTGAATGAGATCCTGAGCTTGAATAGATATATTATATTTAAAATTAAGGAATCTTCGAATATAAGAGGATTTGTCCAAAGATAGTAGGATAAGTACGTGTTGAAATCATTATAAGATCATGGTTTTTTGATTCTTTTGACTTTTTTCTAAAGGGATCCATAGAGATTAAAGAATAACATTGGGAATTTAACTAAACAAAATTTAAGCTAATTATAGCACAAACACCACTATATTATCCCAGGGACACAAATTGAAGCTTCAATACATTTCACAAATTGAGTGTAAAATATAAAAAAGTTATTTACAGAATTACCTTTCACTGATTTGATCTGTTATGGTGATGATTTCATTTGCAAGCCTTTTATTTTCTGCTACTGCTTGAGCATATACTATTGAAATGTCTGAAAAGTCTCTTGAAACATTATAAAGTTCAACATCCCATGTTTTTTTCTTTAAGGAAAGAATCATTTATACATATTTACTGATCAGAAAAGAAAAATAAATAGTAATAAATTTTAATTACATGAGTTAATATTTGAGAACAGAGCATGGAGCTCTATTGGGAAGTAAGGAAAGGTCAACTTACAGTGGCATAAAAATCATTAAGTGTTTCCTTATATAGCTGTTCATATTTTTTTTGCTTCCAGCATATTTGATCATAAGTCTTCCTCAAATCATCCAGCTAAAAAAGTGCAATGAAAATAAGTGAATCATGGAGATTTCCATCTTTTTAATATAAGAAGACATAGATTATATTTCATTTTGTGTAGATTCCAAAACTTAATAAACATTAACTGAAATGGTATAACATAATATCATAAGCTGGTTCCATTTATGAAAATTTATGCAAATTTTTGGCAGAACACATCAAATCAAGCCAGTGTTCAAATGAAAAATTAATCATGATAAAATGGAAAGTGCTTTGGCTGTGAAAATTAGAAAATTTTCAATCATAATTCATCACCACAATTTAAGAAAAAAATAACATAAATATCATATCATTTTTCAAGATAAACACTTAATAAATTTACTATCTAGTTTCCATAATATTTTAACCTCATAAGGAAAAGCTACTTAAATATAAAGAAACAACAAATATTCAAAAAGATTATGAAATGCTGAATTCTTGCCTATTAAACTCAAGAAAACCATAATATCTTTTATCACTATCATACTTAATTGTGTTTTGTGAAGGACCAGCTAGGCACAATTGTATAATAAAAGCAAATGTTGCTATTATAATATTGAAAGCGAGTAGATGGATGGCTTTAACTTCAGATAATATGATTAAATACCCAAGGAAACAGAAAGATTCTATTTAAAACTACAATAAATGATTTTAGCAAAATGATTCAATAAAAGGATAAGGAAATTAATAGCTTTTATCTATAAGAGTAATAATTTGTCTTTATAATCTAGTAACAGAACTATAAAAGTTGTTCTAAAAATATAAATATTTGGAATATATTTTTTCAAAGATTGAAAATCCATAAAAATAAACATGAACTCCCATAAAATGCCCACATCAGGATCCACAAGAAAATAATGGTATGTAGTAGAAACTTTTAATAGACTGTAACACCAGTGTTCTTAAAATTAACATAAAATATGATAAAAATTCTTTTATTAATTGCATGAAAATGTTTTATGAAAGAAAAATGAATGAAACTAGTCATAAGGTATCTGAAAATAAAATTAATATTTTAAGATTGATACTAGATATTAAAGCATTCTATAATACCATTACATAAAAGCAGTTTTTTGATATTGTAATAAGTGAAGATCATAGGGAAAAATTAGAGGGCACAATTGTATTTAAATTAATATTTTTAAAGTGGTATATGAGTTCAGTGACAGAATTTATTTAACTAATATAGCTATAATAATTTGGATTTTCTGTTTCAAAAACATACAAAGTGGTCTTTACTTCACATTCCAATTCCCAGTATAACAAAAATAAATTTCAGGTGAATAAGAATGTGAATACAAAACAGTAAAAATTATTAACTCAATTCATATGACTTTACTTCTATAGTCTTGGGCTAAAGGAAAATGTCACCTTGCCAAATAAACCAAAAGATCTGTTGATGTGTTTGACAACATGTTTTATAAAAGTATGTGGAAAATGCATCATAAAAATGAAGGAAAAATGAGACCATGAAAAGTGTGTAATAACAGTTCGATTTTCTCAGAATAAATCTTTGCAAATGACATAAGTAAAAATTGTAGAATAAAAAATTCTGAGAACTCTTTTCTTCATAAATGCAATAAGAAAACTGGCCAAAAAGAACAGAAGCAAGGATTGAAAGAAGGGAGGAAGGAAAAAAAGAAAGAGAAGGAGGAAAGGAGAAAAGAAAAGAAGAAAAAACTGTAGACCAATATCCTTGATGAATATGGATTAAAATTTTATTATGGTTTATATCTAGATGTCACCCTAAAACTTTATACACTCGTAGGTGAGGCTTTCTGGAGGTGGCTGGATCTAGATTGTGTGAATATGGATTAAGGATATGAGATAACTAAATTAGTCCACTGATTGGTTTAGCATAATTCTGGGTGTGAATAATGAGAAGGCCCATCCTGGATATATGTGGTAACCAACAATGGGCTTTTATCCTGAATGGGATAAAAGGGAAAGGGGGTTTTGATGCTGATCAAGCTTCCTGCTTTCTGCCTGTTCTTTCACGGACAGTTTCTCCTCTGTGATGCCCCTCTGCCATGCTGTTTTGCCTTAGATCCAGCTGACTATGGACTGAAACCTCTACATACTGTGAACTAAAATAAACCTTTCCTTCCTTAAATTGTGGGTATCAGGTATTTTGTCCCAGCAACAAGAAAACAAACAAGACAAAAATCCCCTATGCAAATCCAATTTAATACCACATTAAAAAATCATACACAGCGATCAAGTGTGGTTTCATTCCTAGTGAGCAAGGTTGGTTCAACATATGCAAACCAATATATATGTAATATACCACTTAAATAGAATCAAGGATAAGAATGACATGCTCACCTGAATACATGTAAATGAAAAAAAAACACTTTGGTAAAATTCAACATCCCTTCATGATATAAACTCTGTGTTAATTAGGTATACAAAAATTACACCTCAACAAAATAAAGACTATATAACACAAAGTCATATCCAATATCATATTGTCTGGGAAAAAATTGAAAACATTTTCTCTACATTCAAGAATGAGACAAAGATATCTACTCTCAGGACTTTTCTTCAATTTATTATTGGAAATTTTAGCTAGAGCATTTTGGCAAGAGAAATAAATGGAATGCAAATAGGTAATGGACGCATCACATTATTTGAAAATGATATGATTGACAAATTCAGAAAATTAGCAGGACAAAATAAACAACATACAAAAATTGGTAGCTTTTCTATATACCAATAATTGTCTCGCTGAGAAAAAAAATTAAAAAGATAATTCTATTTACAATATCCTAAAGAAATACACAGGAATAAACCTAACCAAGGAGGTTGAAGACTGCTACAGTGAAAATTATAAAATACTGAAGAAAGAAAAGAAAATGAAGAACAACAGAAAATGCAATGACCTCCAAGATCATGGATTAAGGGAATATGGCTTAAAATGTCATAGCAAAGCACAAAGACCCGAGTTCGATCCCCAGCACCAAAAAAAAAAAAAAGAAAAAACTATCCCAGAAGTCTTAGACATTGCTATATGAAGTATGTTTAAAGAGCTAAAGGAAGATGCTTATAGAACTAAAGTAAAACATGATTTTTCACCAAATGGAAAATATCAATAAGGTGATAGAAATTATAAAAATATTCAAGTAGACATTTTCATTTAAAAAGTATAGTAATTTTAAAAAATATTGCTACATGAGCTCAGTAGCATATTTGAGCAGGCCAAAGAAAGAGAAAATAACTTGGAAAATGAGTCAACTGAGATAATCTATCCTGAAGAACAGAAATAAAAATGAACAAAGCATAGTTGTACCACACAATGAAGTATACCAACGTGCAAATGCACAAACATATTCAAAGAAGGAGACAGAGGAGAGGAAAAAACAGAGGTGGACAGAACAATGATTGAAGAAATAATGGCTGAAAACTTTCCAAATTGGTAAAAACCAAATCAAACAAAAACATGAATCTACATATTCAAGTTCAAGGAACTCTAATAATATAAAGTCAAAGATAAAACATGTAAGATATGTTATAATCAAATTGTCAAAAGCTTTAGAATGAGAGATTTTTAGAAATATCAAGAAAAAAGTCACACTTCAAACACAAAGAATCTTCAGTAAGATTAACAGATATTTTTCACTAAAAACAATGGGGATCAGAAGGCATATGCTAACATGCCAAATACAGAAAGAAAGACAAAGTACAAGGGATTGTATATCAGGTAAGGCTATTATTTAAAGATGAGTGAGATATTAGGACATTCCTAGGTAATTGGATACTGATCAAATTTATCATTTGGAACTTATCCTAGAAGAAATCTAAAGGCAATTCTTCAGGCTGAAATGAAAGAAATCAGTACACTTAGTAAGTGTAGTAACTTACCAATATATTGTTTTATTTAACATTGGCAGTTCATGACTCATTTTATTTGCTGTTTCTCTGATTCTTACTATTTGTTTGGTACTAGGCTTGAAATATATCCTGCAAATTGCATCTACAGATCTGGACTCTGAAATTCAACATAATGCTCAAAGCATGGTTCTAAGTATTTAGCATTCTCGCGTCACTCTGTACATAGCTTTTTACTAGATTTGAACACTCGTCTTTCTGGTTAAATATTTTAACATGTTTGGAAAATACTTTTGTGCTTTAACATGACATTTGACTTTATATGAATTCATAATTGATATTGTGACCAACCTTAGCACACATAAGGTATTTGTTTTCTCCACTAGTTCATAAAATCCAAAACTCAAATAAATTTAAATAATTTCCATATAAATTTGTTTCTTTTCACTTTGTACTTTTACAACCATAGCAAAGGGTTATTTAGGAAATAATTTAATTAAGCTTTCCTACCTATCTGAAGGCATGTAATTGGTTCCATCACATTCTTTGCTAGAATCTTTACCTCTATGTTTAAAAATTCTCATTTTAAACCTTTATCCATGATGGGGTTTATAAAGTGTAAAAATTAGGGATAGGCCAAATAAAATTTCTAATGTGATTTTTAGCTTCGGGTGTGGTAGGTATAATGACAAAAATTACACATATTCCGTAAACCAAAAAATTGTCAATGGTTAGAAGTAGGTTTCCATATATTTTTCAATAGAAAGAATAGAATTTAAACATGAAAATTCAGTGCCCAAGGGTCCAAAGTTATGATCTGTACCACCATGTTCCTAATAAATGTTTGCATAAGTCTCATTATGTGAAATTATGAAACATTCATGAGCATACCTGAGCATTGCATGTGTGCTTATTGCAATCTATAACTCTGGGATAAGAGCTGTTGCTTTAATACTGTCCTAAGGAATAAAATCCACAGAATCACTGGTATTCTGTGCTAATTCCTTTTCTTATGTAATTGATAATACATGCCTAACCTTGAAAATGTTAATCTCTGGAATAACTAAACTTATGTAGTGTGTTATGAATAGTTAACCTTTGCAATTAAAAAATGGAAGAAATTTGCTAGGAAAAAAATTATTTCTCTTCAAGTCAGGAAAATAACA